CTCTCTCTCTCTCTCTCAAGCTTTATGTATTCACTCTACGAACAAAAATTAAGAAAATAATAGATTATAAGAATATTAACAATTAATTGTGCAGTGATTTGGTCTTAAAATGAATGATTTCTCGTTATTTCAAGTTTGAAATAAATGAAAGCTTTTGTTGCTATTTATTTAAGAAACAATTTTTATTACAAAAATTTTCTAATAAAATATAGAAATATAATAAAATGATCTATGAATTCAAGACTTGGTAACAAATATTATCATAAATAATGCATAGAAAATGTAAGAAATATGTTATTAAAATCTAATAAATATATAATTATAAAACATGTTTTTGTGTTGATTATTAAATAGTATTTATACGAAATGAATTGACTAATAATTTATGATTGCATTACACGATTGATTGAAATGCATAAATATAAGCAAAATAAATGCATAATTGAATGTTGAAATGATATGAATATCTAATGTATTCAATATTACTATAAGAGTTACATATTTATAAAGATAATTCTTATCTGAAATCAATTTTTCTCAATAACTGTTACTAAACTTAAATGTTTGAAAAGATTTGTTTAATAAAAATTTCGGTCCAAATCTGTCAATAAAACTTTCAAAACAAATCTTTTGGATATAACTATTGTTACAACAAATATATTAAATTCTTGTTATTTTGTCTCAAATCTTATCTCAAAATGTTTTTCAATTGTTTTTTATAAAACAATTCAAATTTTGATAGAATTTAGAGTTTTCTATTTTAATTAAAAATATAATACTTAAATCTAATACACATTGTTTGCACTTAAATGCAGTTAAAGATTGATGTTTAGTACCAATTCTATCAACAATTTTTACGAATTGTAAATAACGGATGTATTACTTTATATTACAGTATTATTACTGTATACAGTACTGTATATTACAATTTGTATTGTATCAGGCAAACAAATGGGTAAATTTTGTTTAAATATAAGATCGTATAACAATTAAATTAACATGTTCACTACACTTGACTGCAACAAGGTAAACCATAAGCTACAATATCTTAAATCTATAATAGAAGGCAAAACTAATAATGAAAGAATCTTTACTAAAAATTTCAAATAATTATTTTTATAAGAATTCAAATGATTTATACATAAATTAATTTGCAAATGAAAGAGTAATATGTTGTGTTAATTTATAATTAAAACCAATTTAGCCTCTAATGCATGTATTTAGTATCTGACCACTAATCCCCGAACAAGTTATTTGAGTATACCTTATATTCAAATTATAGGATCTGTTATTTACAACGAATTGCAACATTGCCTTCAAGTCTATCACAACATAACTGTTACTCTAATTAAGTCCATTGAAAAAATATCACAAACACTAGTTTTATGATAAAATGTCCGATATTTTTAAATCAATTGTGTTTGAAGTGCAAAAAAGTCTAACTTTAAGAAACACGGCTCCCATGTCCTCGATATACATATTATATGGACATGTCTTGTGGTGACAACTTTGTAATTGCCCACAAGTAGAGCACATCGATATTTTTCACATTGTTTTTGCATATTTTATACTAATATAACCAATAAATTCCCATTAATTTAATAAAATAAAAGCAAATTATTATATATTTCTCTCATTTATTATAAAGGAAGTGAAGATTAACTCTCATAAAGAATTGTCTTCACTATTATAGCAGTGTTTGTGTTATTCATAATAATAACAGTATTTCCTAATTATATTTACCATATTTTAAAAGCATTTAATATAATATAAAAATATTCAATCAAAATATCAAACCCTATACAATACACTTGACATGTATTACATAGACAGAATTTAGAACCTAGGTAATTATTAATTAGCAAGTTAATTTCAATTTTGTAATACAGATATTGATATTTTCAGCATAACTTATGCAAACACACAGAGAGTGTTGACATCTAAAGGCATACAAAGCATACGTTAATGTTATAAAACTATAATCATTGAAAACACTTTAACTGACGTTTAGTACTCGTATTGAAAGCAACGCATAACTGGTGACTCACTTAACGCTGTTTGGCATTAAAAGTCACTCAATTGAAGCGATAATTAGGCCTACAGTCGCGACGACATGAGTGAAGCGGTTGAAAGGCTGCGTGTAGTGAGTGTTGGCTGTAGTGACTCAGTAGTGAGTGCTCCACAATAAACAACACAATCGGATGTTTTACTCATTAATCAAATGGTTTTGCGAATGAATTAATGCATCGATTGATTGAATCCAAGCGTTAAATGCAATCAAATGTTTGACACAATTATCGGACACTAAATGAAGACATCGTTTGCGATGCCGTCGACTCTCACCACTTGTTTCGCACTCAACGCTCTGCTCCTCTCAATCGCCGCTTTCTTCGGTAATTATCTCATCGTTTTTGTTGGCCATCACTTCCCGTATCACGTGATTCATTGTCTTCTTCCTCCTTCAGAAACGATTGCAATCAATGCCACGAACTGTTCGGTCGGTGTCTTAACGGACGGCGAGTGTCCGAAGGGCTGGATATGCGCCGAGTGGTGGTCCGGAGCCGTCGTCGGGCGCTGTCTCTGTCACGACTCGTGTCCACCAAATCAGACAATCGTCTCCACCATAAGACCGCTTCCCATCTATTCGGACGACGATAACAATGGCGACAGCAATAGCCGTAAGTGTTGTTCAATGGATTCAATGCTTATCGCAATATTTAAACCACTTTTTATACAACAAATGATGGACTCATTTGTGTGCACTTCTTGCCCAACGATTAGCATTGAAATGATTGCACGAATTGGTTGTGCCATTTGTGATGACAATTGTCTGTTGTATTGATGTTTAGGTTCAGTCATAATCTTGAGTGTGTTTGGAGTCGTGATATCAGCGATGATGGCATTCATGGCCTACTATATGGGTGTCCGGAAAGGCATGTTTCGCGAGATATGGCGCCGGGCTTTCACTCCACAGCAGATGGAACACCAACTCCTCGACAGGAGTCCACACATCGATGATAATAACGACTCCGAAGCCATCGCTTGAATCAATACTTTCAATAATAATCGATGGATAGTTTTTTGATAGATTTATGGATCAATTGCTTAAAATTATTTAGTTTTAAATAATAGTCAAAATATAAGAGATTTTTTAAATACAATTGTAAATTAAATTATATTATTAGACAAACAACGGCTATATTATAGAGAAATACGAGTAATAAGTTTCAAAACTAAATCATTGAGCACTAGTCAGTCTTTTTTGACATCTATTTGACACAAAAATACATACAAAAAATAATTTGTCTATAAATACAACAAAATATTCACTAGTTTTAAGAGATAAGACCTTTTGAAATACATATTATATTATAATATACATTATATCTGTGATAATGATATGATTTTTTTAAATTGTTTGTCGAAAATATGAGTTATTTTTTAGATTTTTTGAACGCATGGTTTGATTTTGAAAATAACTTTTATATATTGAAGTAATTTCTATCAATCATTTTGACCAAAATTCTCTCCCATTTTCATTGTGTAATCTATTCATTCATTTTGTAATCCAAACGAATAGGTATTTGTTTTGAAGTGTGAATTATTCTCTTATTTTATACGAAATGCCTTTTTTATATATAAATATTACTATAATTTTTAATTTTTTCACTTAATATTTACGTTTATTACATAACGTATCTTAAAATAAGTTTATATTATAAATATAAAGATTATATTCTATTAAATAAAATAAGGTTTAAACCAATTGTTATGAGAAATTTTCTGAATTCTTGACTCAAATCGATGTGATCTCTGGACTAACGCTAAACCCATTTGACCGATGGTTTCATATCATTGTCTTTTAAACACGAGATAAATTGCTGGAAAGGATTGTCAATTAGTTATCACGGATTAGACACTAATTTGTAGAGTTATAGCCATTAAATAAGTCAAGAATTTGAAGAATTGTTTACAAGTGTAGACTTTATAGCTATAAACTATTGGATCTGATGTGACATTTCCATTACAGTACATGTTTATCCATTTGATTCCTCTTTAGCCACCCATATGTTTCTTAAGCTTCATATTTACAAGTAATTCAAACGAATTCATACTGTGTTTGATAGTGTATTCACGTGTACATACATTTAGTGCTTATAATATTCATATTTTTCATATTAAGGGATTATACAAATGAGATAAAAACCAAATAAAAACCAAACCTTTGCATGTATTTTATACCAATGATGATCATAAGATATGAATGCATGCGATTAGTTAGGATTATAAGACACTTACATTAATGTTAATCATAATAATCAAACTCTATCATGATGAAAAATTGCTATAAAAGTGGGCAGATTTTTAAAAATAATTTCATTTTGCAAAAATACCATTTTTCACAATTTTTCATAAAAATAGTTACTTTTAATTATTTATCAAAAATGAGATTTACAATTATGTTTGCGTTGTTTCCATTGGTTATATCGGCGAAGAGTACTTCCGACTCGAATGGTATGCAAACAAATTATATTAAATTAATTTTCTATTTTCTAAATCATTTTCTTCTCCACAGATTCGTTGTATAATTTTGTTTTAAGCGATGGTAATAGAGATCAATTGATCTATAATTACTTGCTTGACAACAAAATTCAACAGTTCTCTGACATTAA